GCATCTGGATGTATTTCTGGATCTTGTGATCTGAATACAAATATGACTGGGCCAGTAGCTGCTGGGCATCTAAACTCTGGCAGTGTTTCTGACTGAGAATGGACCCCATACTGCAGATTACTTTTTGTCAGAGCTGTGAATTAGAGGGACCGGGTGAATGACCAAAAGGGAAAAACCAAAACACTTGCAGGATTAATAAGAGGATTAATCTGACATGTTGGTGCTCAAAGCCCATGAGATAAGTGCTTTCTGTGAGGGTCTGTATAGCTTTGATTTATGAGATTACACACAGGATGCAGGCTCAATAGGGTGCTAAACTGCAGATCGACTTTGTCTGGTTTTCCTTATCATGCCTATAGAGGGAGGTAAGGCTTGTGTTTTGGAAAGGAGTGTTGACTCGTGCTGTTAAAGAACACCGAGACATAAACCTAACAGTTCTGCCAAGCACCTGTGCAGTTGTTCAAAACCACTCAGTTTTGTTCTCAGTAACGATAATTTAAGTCTGCAATTGTTTTCATCCAAGTTGCATGAAGGTAATCAGGAATGACAATGTGTATCCAAAATACCGCTATTAGGAAGAACTAAGGTACCTAAAGCCAGAACATTCTCACAGAAAARTATACTTTCACATTTGCTTAAATGCTGCAATGATGTAATTCGTTACCAGGAGAACTGATAGCAATCYGGCTGTTAGTGAAATAATTATGTACATTACTATGCTTATATTTAGCTCTTCTAGCCAATTTTTAAAATGTGTTAMATTACAGTGATATTGTGAGATTCTCAAGAATTAACCTTAGCAGTTATTAAAATATTAGGCAATTACCTCTGTATTTGGCGTGTATGYTTTACTTCTCCACTTATTAAATATTCTGCATCTTCTTGTCTATGCTGTTTTATTGAGTTTCTAGGCAGGCATTGCCCAAAACCCATASCAAAACCAAGCCCAGTAGTAACAGAAGTAAACATCTACTCTATTAGTGGATAAATTTAAGAAATGAATGGTCCAACAAAAAGCATGAACCTAAAGGCCTATCCATGAACTGCAAAAAGTGCACTTAGGGAAGAGCTAATATAAATATACAATACCAGATGTAATTTTCATTATTTTCTCTGTTTTCCTTGTCAGGTTTTCTCACTTGCATGTCCAGTAACAACAAAATCTTGCAAAACAAGATCTACAAAAACATGTCTGAGGAAATTACAGTCTTCTGTCTCACTCATTCACACACAAAGAAAAATCACAAGATTTTTCAAGAGCACAGCTACTCTAGGAGAACTTGAAGTACCAATATCTGAAGAATGGGATTCATTACTTGGTTGTACAGTAAAATGAACCATGGAGACCCAAGAACAATTTTTAGCTGACATTGTGTTTCAAGTGATATGAAAACATAACTGCAGTTAATAGAGATTTTCTGTATAGAAAAGTTTTTAAACAAATCTTTAAACATTTTAGATGATACAGTAATGTTTTTCTCATACCTCAGATGCAGTGTTGATTATTTTAACATCTCTACAAAGAGCCTAAAGAGCTGATGCTGGATATCTACACCTACAGGATAGCGACAGATCTGCTTAGGAGAGAGATCTGCTTGCACTCTGAGTAATAGTGATCAATGGAATGCCCAACTTGAATGTTTTTGGAAACATCAATCTRAATTTTCTCAAAAGCATAATGATACTAGGGCTCTATATTCCAGTAAGTGTTTATTTAGCCCAGGACTATATTTAGTTAAATTTAATCCCTGTTATCAGTGTGGTGTTTTTATATGACCAAGTCATACACTGWCCTAAACAGGTCAGACTTCTCAGCAGCTGTTTGAAGTGCATGACACATTCTGKACAGAAGCAGCTGTCAAGGAATGTAATGAGGGCACTTTTGTTGGAAACATCACTTAATTGTGGCTGATGCTGCTGAATTAATCATACTTCCTTACTGCCAGGACACACCGTAGTGGAGCTTTAGCTCTTCTATTTCATGTTTTTACAATATGAATTTAGAAAAACAACTACAGTAATGAAATAATTCACATTCTGCTCTTGAGTCATAAATGTGCAATAGCCATTCCAAACAACACAGAACAAAATGGATTTTTCTGGGATCAAAATATGGCTCAAAACACAAAATGTTAAATATTGGATTGTACAAAAATCTTGTGTCACTAACACCATAGAATAGCTATCAAATAATTAAGCTTGTAAGTACAGAGAAAAGCTTGTAAGTACAGAGAAATCTTCTAAGAACACATATCTCTTGAAGAGGTCTCTTCATTTTCAATGTTGGAGTGCTACTGATAAATTGATTCTAGAATGTTAAATTAAAAATCACCACAGAAGTATTTTCAGCACAAATTCTTCATAAATTTCACACACAGTAACATAGATTTTATCTGTTGATTTTTTACTGGGAAATTTACAAAACCTTTCTACTTTTATTTGTATCTTCCCAGCCTCAATCACATCMATTTCCTTCAAACAGCAGAGGCAGATTTACAAAGTTCTGGGCTGTTTGTCTAACTGGAGACTTACCAATAGGATCAACTACATCAATGATTGAAGACTTACATTATGAGTAATTGTTTCATTTGGTGTATCTTAACTACCCCCATTTCCCTGGGGCTTCATGTGCTTGCTGCATGTTGTGTTCTATCAGCTGGGGACAGCAGTGTGCCTATTTTTAGCAGTGATGAGTTAAACAGCCCACACAAGGAAAGATGCAATTGCTGTTAAACAAGAMTATAAAGTGAGTGAATAAACATCTCCCACTGACTTCCCTTTTCTACTTGTTATATCCAGTTTTTCAATGTTTATAGAATAAAAGGTATGGCTTTGCTAATTAAAGTCTCAAAAAGCTCASCTTGCAATTTTCACTCTGTAGCCCCACAGATTGTGTTCAGCCTGACAAAACAATTAATTCAGTGTTTCTCAGGAAGCCTCAGCTTCTTCCTATCACATTTGCACATCTTAAACTATTACCACACAATCTGTTTGTCAAGTTTTATGCSGATATTTCTATCAACATTATCATTACCCTGCAATGCTGAGCTGTAATTACTAGAATGTCCAATGCTGAACAGGTTTAGTAGCCAGTACAAACACATTCCACCTTAAYAACCCCTTATCACAACATCTAGTGTGTTAGTTACTACAAGGTTACAAATCCTTCTCCTAGATCAAAAGTGAACTGACTGTAGAATTCAACTTGCCTGACCTCCAAATTTCAAGTGGCAACATTTCTCATTAACTGGACCAAGTTTGTTTCTGTTTCCATTTATGTTTGTTATCATTTTAATATAGGTAAGTAAGAAAAACTTTGGCAATTACTAGCACAGCTGTAATTTTCTTTCCCAAACAGATGGCACAAATGATGAGGGCCATTAGAATAGACTTAGCATCTCTAAAATTACAATCAATGCACAGACTGATATACTGGTGCTTTAATGYGGAGTGCCAAAAGCCATTTTTGGGCAACTCCTCAAAGAAACTGGAAGAGTGAGTGCAACACTTTTAAAAGTTTTCTATGGATAGTGCATCACATGTGGTTTGTGTTTCAGAGGTTCATGTGTTAAATCGATCTTGGAGAAAAAAGAAAAAAAACAGTTTTGCAAAGGAAAGGAACACAAGTAGTACAGCACTTGTTAAAAATCGTAACAAATATGTATGACAGGCCTTTATATACAATTTAAAATTTGAAAGTGAAGTGAAAGTTTAYATTCAGCATTATCCTACAAAAACTGTAATCCTGCAACAGTATAAATTACTGAGTGGATAGCATCAATTAATCAAATACATACACCTACTTAATTTTCATTCCCTRCATATTTATTCACATACATCAGTAATTTTCACTTTTTCCATCTTTTCCATGAATTCCAAAATCACTTCTCTACTGGCAGGCATTTCTCTCTCCATTTCATGCTTGTGATCACGGCTAAACATTGCTTACACTTAGCTTTAATGGTGCATTTCTGGTGTGCATTAAATCTATTTCAAGTCCCCAGTTACGCAATATTCCTTCCACTTACAGTCTCCTGCTGTTAAGTCTCTGCATTGGTTCATTAAATGGCACTTTCCAACAGCATCAAAATAAAACAATTTTCTTTTTTTCAGTTCAAGTTTGAAATGTTATCAGCACACAGTTAAAGAAATTTATTTAGGCAGTGATGGTCTTACGTTTTCTGTATTTAATACTTGTGGTATGTTGGTATAAGACATCTTGCTGCAACAAGACCGAGGTATTTTGATTCAAGAAGTGTGTGGGGGATGAGCCAAGAGACACAGCAGTCTTGCAGACCAGTAGATAACACAGTTACCATCTAATGAGACTGAAAGAGGTGGAATTGCTTCTGTTAATGCAAGTTTGCCATTCACTGCCAATTTACAATGACTGTCTCTAAAACAGAAATTTAAACAGAAAGAAAGCGTCAAATCTTGATGACCTACACCAGAAAACCAGTAAGGCTCTGAGACACACTGTGAATTAAGCCTCAGCCTTTCCAGGAGCTTTATCACAACATTAGAAAARCTTAGCAGCAGCTTCAAGAGAGAGCTGCAGCGTAGTCAGCAGAGTGAACTGAGGCTGTTCTAAGTCAAATTTTCATCTGCAGCCAGAACTACAGGAGTAAGACTGAGACGAATACTTATCGCATCTCTACCTCACACAAGGCTTAAGAAATACAATTKCATTGTTTTGGGCACTACTGTTATCCACAGCCTGAAAACAGCTCAGCCTCCACCAAAACAGCATTTTTAAAACTAGTGCTTTGCTAAAGAAGTGTATTTTTTGCTACAGCTCTTCCAAGAGGGTACAATGTAGAACAAGGCAGAAATGGTACAACCTCTMAGCCTTGTTGAACAATGACAAAATAGTTACATGGTAAGACAGGGAGAGAAATTAAGAACAGGTTGCATTACAGCATACTATGGCTAAAAAGAGAATTTCAATAGTAATTCTTTTTACATATATTACACATTAAAGAAAGATATTGGCAAATGTTTCAAGTAAAATGATTTTATTTTTTCCAAATCATTTATACAGCACTGAATATTCTGGTGACTTTCAGATCTAAAATAATCCCTATACACACATAGGTGTTTGTGTACTGCATTATAAACTAGTACAGGTTGACCCCTATTATTTTCAAAAGAAATAACTGTTACAGCTTTTCCCCAGAGATATCCCAATTTTGACTTAAAGCAACTCTCCATTAATGTTTAATCACCTGGTCATTACCTCGTCTTCTATTAACAGACCTCTATTAATTTATTAGCATTATGTTGACTTAAGGCTGCAAGTTTAGAAAAGCAGACAATGTAGTAGACTTAGTGGTTGTAAAGACCTTTGTATTTGTCAATCTGTCAAAAGGGCATTCACACCACTAAGCACTAAAATACAAACCAGATAAATTACTATTTGGTCTGCTAATTTTTTTTTTACTGTTGTCCATATAGARCAACAGTGTGACAAAAAATTGCATTCACGTGGTACATCCAAAAGCAGCATGCAACTAATAAACTCCTGCGAAGTTGCAAAGCTTGTCCATTCTGATAGGATTGTGAACAAATAACTGTGAATTCATTACTTTCACCCTGTGTAGAAGGGCTGTAGTTACCTGCTAAATTTTCCCTGTTTGGACAGGGAATCATTTAGCTAACAGTATCTCCGATTTTATTTAAATCATTTCTTATTAAAGTAATCTTCCAGAAGCAAAAATGATCTTCCAAAAGCTTTAGATATATACATTCATGGCCCTTGTACTTGCCATGACTTCATCGTGGAACAAGGTTTCAGCAAACATATCAGAGTTTTGCAAAGCCTCGAAAAGACGCTTATAGTCTTCTGGATACAAGTTACGCATTGCAGCATTTTTGGGAATTTCTAGGGCTTTCAGTAATCTGTCACTATTGTCCAAGCTCCACGAACTGAAATAAACAAACAAAATCATAATGGAGCATTTCTTTCTGTGAAAAAATTAAAAGAAACATTATCTGAAGGTCCACTTCACTTGTTCACAGCTTCTAGAAGAAGCTAGCCTTTTCTTGCAACACAAGTTATTTTCAATCCATACTGTAAACAGGAAGAAACCTCTGYTAATAAAACACATAAATAGTAAATAAAGCCCCCAGCACACACAGACAATACCAAATGACACAAACCTACTAACTAGAGGCTGGGTGCCCTCCCTCCCTCCCTCCTCCACCCCAAATGTGTAAGTCAGTAACAGGCATCACAGCCTAAAAAGGGGATATTCTTCAGTGCTGGGGAAATTAAAGCCAAGGCTTATGAGTCAGTATAGTATGAACTACTAACTTACACCTCCCAGGTGTTTTCTTCCATATACAGATGTATCTACCCTTCCCCCATCCSTATCTTTGCTATGAAAGCTATACTTTTACAAATGTGCACATACATGAACTATTTCCCAGACAGGAAAGGAGTGTATAAATACACAGAAGATGCATATTAGAAGCCTTCAACAYCCTGGCTGAAGGATCAAGTGGAGATGAGGTACACCACTGAATTTCAAAAAAGAAATTCATTAAGGCTCTTTGCACTTATCTTTGCTAAGAGAGTTACTGGGAATTTAGCAGCTAATTTTTCCCCCTTTCTGGAAATTAACTTTCATAAGCTACTTTCAGCAAATGAGAAGTATATTCATTATTTCAATCAGCAARAAGTCAATGCTTTCCAGACTGTGAGCAGCTTCCATTTCCAGGAAACGGAAATCTACTTAGCATAAAGCAAAGTGAATAGCTCCATTGTAGTGTCAAAACCAATAATCAAGGGGAGTTGAATAACTGGTAAGGTCTAAAGCCTAATTTTTTAATTAAGTAACAGCCATTTGAGGACATCCCCATTCCACCTTCTATAACCTTCAGCTGTTTTCATTAGCATGACTTTGATGTCTGTTGTAAGTTTAATTTCTTTCAGCTTTTAATTTCTATAACTGCACAAACTCTTTGTGGCTTTATTATTGTATCTGTAAAATAAGTGAAAACTTCTTGCAGATATATCACCAAACCTCRTTTGGAGGTAAAGCGAATTACTGCCCATATACATTCTAAATACTCATCAACCTTCCTCAACTTTTTATTAGCTGTGAWTACAGGCCAGGAACAGTCCCCAAAATACTGTACTGTGGGTTGTACAAATATAATCTTCTATTCTACAYGTTGATGATTAATTAAAATGAATTAATTAATTTTTTTAAGGTTGTACTTCATCCGAAAATAAATACTGCTTTGGGAATGTATTTTAATATTTTCATATATTTCCATGAAATATAAAAACTGTAAGATTACTTACTTTAATCTATCTCTAAGTTTAGAATTAGGTTTAGCAAATGACTGTTTCACCATGAAAATAAAGGTGGTTGCATTTGAGGGCTTCAAGCCTCCTGTAAATAGATTTTGCTGAGGAGTCAGTTGTACCAAACACAAATGGTCATTTGGCAGCTGCTGCAAGAAAAACAAAGTAAGTCACTGAAAAAATCACTTTTTAAGACAGTATCTATCTTAAGCTAAGTTTCATCTTTGCAACCAGTAATATTTATTATTAAAAGTCTTAACAATATGATTTCATTGCAAGATGAGGCTTCATCTCCCTGTGCCTCAAACAGGAAAGGAAATAWAAAACAAAAGAAACACACTATAACTTGGGATTTACTTCTATATTTTAAAACTGGACTTTCTTAGTTGAAATAGACAATACAGGTTTGATGTGAATTTTCAAAGTATTTATATGGCCGATAGTATTGACATACTATGCAAGGTATCAGATCAGCTACCTGCCTTTTATATATAAAGATGGAATTATATAACACTTAAGACAATATTGCAATGTGAGGATTTTATGAAACTGGAACAGAGTGGACAGAGTCTTCAACTGAMATAAATGTACTTCTGTATTGGCAGCAATGATATATTGTCCAATAGAKCTCATCTTTGTACTTCTAAAGCTGACATAATACATCTTGCATAACCCACCTGATCTGCCTCTCTACATGGCTTTTCAGCAACACAACTAAGYACAGGCACCTACATTACTTACAGTCACTTATACCACACAGAAATATTGCAAACAACACTCAGTACTGTACCRTGGCAGTTTTCAGGGGAGAGCAAAACCAAATATTAAGTAAACATGCTTTTACATTATCAGAATTAAATAGGAATATTTTTTTATTATAGATAAGATCATTACTTCTATAAAAGAGAAAAGCAAATMACTTTATACAAGGTGGTTTTGCACTTCTCAAATTTAAGTTTAGAGACTCGTGCTTTTCAGCAATTAACTAGCACATGAAATCTATAATAGACATGTGAATTACCATTTTAGTCAAAACCAGCAGCACAGCGATTGTGTTTTTAACTGTGGTGACACTTGTTTTGTTCAAGCAGGTAGATGTGATCATCAGTAACTTTCTCKGAAAAATACTTCACCTATTCATATTCCTTTATGCTATTTATTTACTGCATTTTTTTATCACAGACAATAAAGATATTAGTTTATTTCAGTTTCTAAGCTAATAGCAATTCTTCACTCCATTTTTGATGAATCTACATGCTGCCTTAAATTTTAATTAGAACAGTTGTTAAAAAATGCATCTGTAAATGCTGCTAGAAAGTTACTTCAATCTTTAATTAAAATTGGTTTAGCTCCATCTTTAGAAGAAAAGTGTACACAACAATCTTACCACAGTTTTTGGTATCGCCAGTCCCCCATTTTTCAAATTAGTTGCAAATGATGACCAAGGTTCCTATGGGAGAAAACAAATACATTACGGAATTAAAGTGCTTTGTTAGAATATAATATACTATAAGCTGGAAGGTACCTTCCAAAGTGATCATCTAGGCCAACTGCCTGAGCAATTCAGGGCTGGCYAAGTTAAAGCATGGTATAAAAGGCATTGTCCAAATATMAGGTGCTGACAGGCTTGTTAACCACCTTTTTAAGAAGCCTGTTCCAATGTTAGACCACCCTCTCAGTACAGAAATGCTTCCAATGTCCAGTYTAAACCTCCCCTGGCACAGCTTTGAACCATTCCCACCCTTCCTAACACTGGATACCAGGGAGAAGAGSTCAGYACCTCCCTCCCTCTCCCCTYCCCCTCCTCAGAAAGCTGTAGAGAGCAGTGAGGTCCCTCAGCCTCCTTTGCTCCAAACGGGACAAGTCCAAARCCCTCAGCTGCTCCTCATGGCACATTCCTTCTGGCCCTTTCATTGGCTTTGTTGCTCTCCTTGGCATGCATTCAGGGACCTTCACATCCTTCTTAAACAGTGGTGCTCAGAACTGCCCAAGTATTCAAAGGCGAAAGTGCACCACAGCTGAATTCTGTGGGACAGTCACCTTTCAGCCAGTTGATGATGCCACATTTGAGGCACCCTGGATGCAGTTTGCCCTCCTGGCTGCCAGGGCACACACTGCTGACTCACACTGAGTTGCTGCCAGCCAGCAGCCCCAGGTGACCAGTGACCAAGCCAGTAGCCCCACTCAGTACAGCCCTCTGAGCTCTGACCTTAAGCTAGCTGTTCTTCACCCAGCACACTCTGAACCTGCTCATCCCACAGTTGGRCACCTTTTCCAGAAAGATGCTGTGAGGGGCAGGAACAAAAGCCAGCTTCAGTCAGTAGGGACTCTTAAAACCTTTAGTAGCTGATCAAGAGAGGTGCTGCCATAATTTCCACTAGCTCCTCAGTACTGTGGCATGAATTCCATGAGGCCCCATGGACATGAGAACATTCATCTGATAAAGCTGGTCCCTTACAGTTTCAGTCTCCATAAATGGAAAGTTCCTGCTCCCACACCCATGGTCCTTTGGGTCAGGGGGCCGGGCAGCTCAAGGTCTACCAGCATTATTAAAGACTGAGGCAAAAGAGACATTGAATGCTCCCACTTTTACTTCATCCCTGTTAGTCAGATGACCACCTTCAAAAAGTACCATTCTTCAACTTAAGTTACCTTAATATGTAACTTGTTGTATAAGGTATTTGAAAGACAGTAGACAGTGAAACCTAATTTTAGATTATGAAGGTGATAATTTTAGATTATGAAGGATGAAGGTAGGCTCCTAGAAAAGCAGAGCACAAAGGTAAATCTGAAAAGCATAAACTAACTGAAAGGTGATGGCCATGTGCTCACAGCAAGTGGAGGTACAACATAAAAAAGCCTTTTAAAACTAAACCATAGCATGTTTCACAAGGCAAGAAGGTATTGAGTGGTAGGGGAAGAATATATGCTTCAACGATTAAATCACCAAAAAAATTTATACTGAACACAGCTTAGGAAGTCCAAAGCACATGTGACTGAGAGGATATAACAAAGAGCAGACTATAACAGATTGCAAAAGCAGGCTTCTAGTTTCACACTACCATTAGCAAAATGGAAAAGACTTATCTAGTGTGTAAACATTTCTTTCTACATATGTAGAARGAAACATATCCATGTACCAGATTCTGAGAATAAATGTTTTCAAGTCAGTGGCTTGCAGTGAAAACACTGACATCATAGTGAATAACAGTGCTGCTTAATTGAAAGAATTTTACACAAAACATGACTGTTTTGGCTTTTTAAAAACATTTTCAACAGTTCTCCAACTAATTTAAACACCAAATTAGCTTCCAATTAGTTTACAATGATAAACCACTATAAACCCTTTTCTGAAAACATGTCCATAGCATTAGGCCATATCAGCTGGTACAAATCTCTTACCTTATGCAGTAGTTTAATTTCATAYCCTAGTTGTGCAAGTACAGTAAATGCTTGATAAATTTTCGGCTCCCCAGGCTTTGCTGTTAATACCTAAAAAAATGGCAAAGAGGAAGCATTTTTGTTGCAAAAACCAAGACTGCATCTTTTGCTAACCAAAACCTTATACCTATTTTCATATATACATAACAATAAGAAATACAGTGAGGTCTAAAATTTGAAGGTAAAGTTACRTTAGGCCTCAAATATGCACTCTGTGCTATTTTAGTACATCTTGTCAGAAGACATTGTAATGTTTTCAGTATTTCTTCACAGCAGTTATTTGCATAACTGAACTACGTATGAATCTCCAGCATATACTTGTATACTTTCTGGTCCCTTTTAAGGCAGAGAAGTTTCACATAGAAAAGATATAAGGATCAGATTTCATTTAAAAACCATAACTTGGGCAGTGTTATCAGCCTGCACTGATAACATTCCCAAGAAGATACACATGCAAAGTAAAATATCATGTGACTTCACTGAACATTATGCAACTTGCACAGTCATCRTCCTGATCAATACTTCACATCAAACAACTCATAGGGCAAAAAAAAGAAAAGGTTGTGATTATTCTCAAAAAGGGCAAGGAAAGAAGAAAATTGTAGAAGTGAGGTTTAACTTGTAACAGATTTACASAGCCTTGTCACATGATAAAAAGCCAAAACAACAAACAAAAAGGAGCAAACAATTTCAATTAAAATAAAGTTCCAACAGCTCTTACTACACAACTCTTATTTAACAGGGTTCACATTTTTACCAGARAAGTTAATAAAAAACAAACAAAAACTGCATTAAATGAATAGGCTGCCCTGTATTTTGTAAAAAACTGGCCATTAAATACATCCCATACAAGTGGGTATTTCAGTGGTGTCCAACCTGTCATTTCACAGACAAATATACTTAWGACATTTAATTTTTTTAAGTGGATGTTAGATACAACACAAGTTGTGTAAGCAGCCCTGGAAGTCCTTGTCTACCTCAAGTAATTACAGGTTTATGGCTGTGTATGAACCTCCCTGTTTTATGAGGGGAAAAAAGGTATCCTTAAAGTATAAGTAAAGTTGTAAAGCTTTGGGACAGCATAAATTAGGAACATCTAATCAGAAAGCTGCTCCACTTCAGTGTACAGAACATAAACAAAAAGAAGCGTAAATCATTATATTTTGCCTCMGTTCTTTTCAGTATTGCATACAGAACAACTCAAGAGGATGAGTGCATTTCACTGTATTGGGATTTAGTAACTCTGAATCCTCTTAATTTGTGTTTTTGTGTTTGTCTTCAAACACAGTCTTCATTGGCTATTACCTGCAACTAGTAAACAATCTTCTTACAAAAGCATGGTACAGAATTAATCACCTCACAATTTACAATGGAAAGCAGCTAGTCTGCTGCTGCTTGTGCTTCTTAAGGACCAGTCTTGACATTTTTAAGATCTGTGTTTTTATGACAGTGTTGCTAGACAGTGCATAAAGAGAACAAGTAAGAAACTGACAATACTTAAAAATTCTGGCAGGAAAAGAAATTCACTTACAAAAACATTAAGTACACAACAAAAACGGTTTTGCATWCTGTGAAGCACTACACCACCTTCATTACTTGTAAAATGCCTCGTACATACCGTATACTCTTTTTCACTTATAAAAAGGTTGAGTTCTACTCTTCCATATCTGTATATGGAACTGCATTCATACATGTTGAAAAGAAGTCTCCAAAGTCTCTTCCTTTCTGATTGTTGTGGCACAATTCCAAAAATTTTCACAGGAACATCTGTTTCAATAATATRTAAAAGAAACTTACAAGATTTTGCAGCATATATTGACATTATCATTAATTCTATCATTAACTGCCTAAACTACAAACAATTAAAAAAGTCTATGAGATCATGTTGTTCAAGAATTAATACAATTCAAGCCTTAGTCAAAGCTAAGCTCAGTTTGATTAGACTAAACCTTTCTAGACGAGAAAATACTWATTAGCTCATAATGTCCCATTTGGGCTTTTTTTTGAAGTTATGAGTCTAAATAAAGCTAAAATGTAGAAAATAGTATTCACTAATCCAACATGTGTGTTAAATAAGATATATACCTCAAGCAAATCCCAAAGATTCGGCCAAACTGCCTATGCACCCTTCAAATGTATTTGTAATGTGCAATCATAAATGCATACCTGCCCTCCAAGGAACTGCTGCTATACCCATGGTTTCAAAAAGTTTGTCAGAAGACACTGCAGGTGGTTTCAATGCTCCTTTTGTCAAAGGATCCAGTTTAAAGAAGTCACCAGAAATCACCTTTAACTGTCCATCCAGGCTRTTCTCTAGGGACTGAATAAAAATTGCTTCAGTTGAAGAAATCTGGATACAGTGACTGGTTTTGCAGAACACCCAATACAAACAAAAATATATTTAAGCACTACCTAAAATTGTTACCCAGTCAAGAAGAGTCAAACCTCAGAGTTACTTCTTACAGCTGATTAAATGAATAGCTTCTTCCTTTCAGCTGATAAAAATAACTGCCCCTTCATTGTGCAGAGCATCTTGATAKTTTTTGTGCAGTTCAACTCATTAAATGACATTCTTAAACTCATAAGATGTTCTGCAAAGTTTTAAAAAAACAAACCAACAACTATACTCAACTAAGCAAACAAACCACTTATTTTAACAATCTAAAACTAGAATTCTTCCTATCTGTGGAGAAAATGCCTTTCATAGGGATTTTAAGTCAGRTGAGAGTCATTGGTTTCAAACCAGCACTGTAACCTTCTAGAGCAACTTCTGCAGCTCTACTCCCCCTCTGAATCCATGAAAAGCCCAGCAGGAGAGGACAACACATGTAAGTGCCARTTGCAAGAAAACCGATTAAATAACATTCTGAGATAATCAGAGTAACTACAAATATTTTTCCAGATTTCTTATAACTTCATACAGAACTATTGYTTAAACATAGACATCTACAATGACTCTGATTAGTTTCAAATTTATGCATGAAACTATGCAYAGAAAGACTATGTATGAACCTGAATTTCTACATACACAAATTGCAAAATAAATTAGTTTTAAAATATTCTGCATTTGTAATCTACAATACCAAGCTTACTGGTTGTAAGTTACATACTATTATTAGGCACTATTTCAGATGTTGCAAGTAACAATCATTGCCTAATTCCTCTTTGATTCAACAATTACACAACAATTTAAGGTAATTTCTCATTTTCYCTTTAATTATGTTTTAGAAACGTGCAACTGAATCAAAAGTGTACCTGTAAGTCTGTAAGAAAATCTGAGTCACTTTCCAGAGCTACCACTCTAAAACCTGCATCCAGCAGAGTTTGAGTCAAAATTCCAGGACCTGAGGTAGGAAAAAAAAATTTAGAAAAAAGACTATTAAAAAAACTTTTTAAAGYGCATTTTTGTTTACAAGTGATTTCCTTTCATGATTTTCCCAACACAACACTTGGGACATATCACCTTCAACAGGAGTTGAAAGTGACATTCTTCAAAACAAGAGTTAGAGAAATGATTGATTTACAGGCAGCCTGCCTGAGACTGCTCACTGAATTACACTAAGCATAGCATTACAATTAGACACTGAGGAACACTGGAGATAATGCTTCAAGTATTTCTATTACATTTTCTTCTGCTAAGTGAAATATACTGTGAAACCTTACCCATATTATCTCTAAAATACATTCTGCAGAAATGTAAACAAAAAAAACCCCAAATCATTAGGTAACTGCAGAGGACTTCCCACAGCCCGTAATTCTGGATGTGCTTTTACTGATAAACTACAAAACCACAGTGCTACCTGAAAGAAAATTACACCTCTGGTCACTCTTGAGCAAACTTTTAACCCAAGTGACACAAGCCTCSAGACTGCGCCCTCACTCATTCCCCACGCTCTGCACAAAAGGTCCCCCAGGCACAGCCCAATGCTCACACCCAGATTTCCCGGGGAGGTGCCGAGGCGCGGGTCTGGGACAGCCCCCAGCCGGGATTCCGGCCGGGTGGTCGCCGGAACGCAAAGCAGCTGCTCCCCCCGCCCGAAATCCYGGGAGAGGCAGGGCCCCGGCCCCTTCCCGCTGCAGCACCAGCACCAGCCCTCGGCGGGGCCGGGCTGCAGGCACCCTCGGAGGCGAGGGCGGCAGCTCGCACTGACCCCTCCCAAGGTCACTGGAGCTCGCTGGAGCCCCGAGGCAGCTCACCGGGCGCCAACTCGAGCAGGAGGGGCTGGGGGCCGTGGTCGGTCCCGCCCTGCAGGCAGCGCCGCACGGTGCGCGCCAGCTGCGGGCAGGCGATGAAGCGGCGGACCACGAGGCTGCTCCGCTGCTCCTTACGCACCACCCGCTTCGCCTTCTCCGGCTCCCCTACCCCCACGGCCGGGTACTGCCGCCCCACCGTCACCCAGCACGGCGACAGCCCACAGAGCAGCGGCCGCAGCCCCGCTGCCAAGAGGCGGCCGCAGCAAGCGGCGCCCAGCGGGGCCCGGCCCGCCAGCATCGCCGCGCCGCCCGCGCCGCGCTTCCAGCTTGGGCTGCGTGATCGCCGCGGCAACCGGGGCGTCACTTCCTCCTSTGCCCGGCCTCTCAGCGCGCTTCCGCTCCGCCGGCGGAGGGCTCTCCTCCCGCCGCCCGCCCTCTCTATGGTGCCCGCCCCGCTCCGCCGGCAGCCTGCGGCAGCACCGGCCCCCGCGCCTCCACGCCATGCCGGCTGGCGGGTCCCGGCCGCCCGAGCCGCCGCGGAGCTGAGGTGAGCTGACAGCGGCTTATCCGCAGAGGGAGGAGGAGGGGAGGACGAGATGCTTTCCCCCGGTGCCGCGCACCGCCGCCGCCTTCTGCTTGTGTCGGCCGCCACCGGGCGCTCCAGGGGCGGGTTAGGGCCGCCGGGCGGGCGGCGGGAAGGTGCCGGTGCCGGGCGGGCTGGGCGCTCTGCCCGCCTCGGCCGGGGTGCGCAGGTGCCGGCGCTGCGGCTCCTTTCCCCGGGCCGGTGCCCCCGGAGCGGAGCGCGGAGAGGCTGAGGCGAGCGGCGCCCCGGCAGGCAGGGGGGGCTCGGGCCGGCGGGAAGCGCTCTGCCGGGCGCCCGTGGAGCGATGCGGGCTCCGTGTGTCGGTCAAGTCCCAGGAGCTACGGATTTAGTTTGAGGTTTGCCTGGGTGTTTCACGGCAGTCTTTGATCTCCGCGTCTGCAGCTAAATAGTCACTTCGGGACTCGGTTGTTTGTATCGCCCTACTGCCTTCGACAGGTGCAGGATCCTGCTCCGGCGGATCTCCGGCATCGCTCCTTGCCGGCTTCTCTCTGCTCGATACCTTGTTGCAATTACGGTGTAGGTTAAGTCTGTAATTTTCAATAGCAGCGACGTTGTCCTTTCGGCAGCGTCCCCAATGCCTGAGCGAGAAATAACTTTAAGACCATCTTCAAAGCGTTCAAAACTGCCGAACTGGAGYTCATCTTTCAGGGGTACTGTGTTAAAACTGGTGAGTGGCCGCAGTGTGATGGGGGAAGGGAGAGAGAATCCTCCCAAACGTGTCTCCCCTCTCCCCGTCTCATTTGTGCAGCAGGCAAGAGAGATCTGGCAATCACAGCTTACAGTGGTCTTCAAATTAATGGTTCAGCAGTAGATTTCCTGTATTATTTTCTGCAAATTGCTTCATTTCTTATATCTTGTTTCTTTGTTTCTGAAATTGACATGTGCCTTCTTACTRAACAAACGCATTTTGTTTGACACATCTCTCTTAAACAGAAATTGGATAGAAAATTGTGGCTTTGTTATTCTCTTTTTGGCGGACATGCATGTGGCATGAAGAAGGGCTTGGCTGAACTTAGAAAAGATTGTAAATGTCTTGTCAAGTGTAGCAGTTCTTCATGTCTGTAATTTATTTTTAAATACTCTGCTTTTTTGCACTGRCTGCTGTATTAGTTTTCTCTGTGCCTTAAGGGAAATGGACAGATTGTTCAGCTGGATGATGGGATAGACCTCAATCCATTTTTAAACTGGACATTATGTTTTAATAGCTTTTTCATTCTCTAACTAATTAGTCTGATAATTCAGTAATTTGTAGGACTTTAGAATATCAAGCAGAGCTTGGTTCTCTTAGTTTAGTAGTGTCCTAATTCAGCATTTCTTATCAAAGTTGATTGACAGCTATGGCCACAGAAAGGTTAGATGTAGTTTTAAGCTTAATTAATGAATTTTGGAAATTTTTTGCCAGTTGGGGCACTCAGGAATGCTAGGGTCATCTTTGAATGGGTTGTTCAGARCAACTGAGATTATTCAAAGGACTGTTTGCTAATAAAAGACAAAATGTCCTGACAAGTCTTCATACACTAGAAATTGTACACTTTTCTTCATGTTTTTATTTATTTTGGCTTAGTGCTTGCCTGCATTGAACCACAGGTCTCTATGGGCTAAAATCATGGTTTTTGTTTTTTTGTCCCCTACTAGAACTGCCACATAAGTGCTGGATCTTGAATGCGTAAAGGACTACCTCTTTATTACCTGGTCATTATCTTTGACAAACTGTTGAAATCTTAGGAAAATGGTAAGTTTGTTCTTCTTCTAATTTATAAATTACAGTGTAGAAAAATTTTTAATATGTTAAAGTATACAGCAGAGAYATTTGAGCAGTTATTTTTACATTAATGGCTAATTGGGGCAAATATTTTCTAGTTTAATCCAGCTGTTGCCCCATGCAAATATTTGAATTTACAGTCTTACCTCATACAGCCTTATGTCTTTGTAATTTCGTGCATTATTGGGTGTGCTGAAATTGTTTCCTCCTAATTATTGTTTCCTTAAATAAATCAGGGAATCAAAAGGGTTACCTGTTTGGTTGGATTCCAGTCTATGCTTGAACYGAAAGAGCTCATTAGTTGTATGTGCCAAAAAGATAGTAAAGAGAGTTTTTTTAATGGTTCTAMATACCTTTTGCATTTTCCTTTATTTGACTCAACTTAAAGCTTATTTTTGAACTCAATATCAAAGTATTAGTCTTTTAGTATTATTTTGCTATGTGTTAACCACTTAGGCATAATAAATATTGACAGTCATTTCTAAGTAAGGGTAAAAATTGCAGAAGTACCTAGATTTTGATCTCAGTTTTTCAAACTCTTATGACCATACTTCATTTTAAGTATAAATTTGGCAGAATTTCCATCTTGCACAAAAAGAACTCAATGAGTATGTGAATGGAAATTTGCATAATCATGCTTTTTTTTTTTGTCCTAACAGTGAATACAAATCATTAGAGTCTCCTCTAATGACTCAGAATACAGGTTCAGTTTGAAAGGTTTATGTATTACCACATACGACCTCTAATGTGAATTTTAGAAAAAGCTTTCAACACAAATGAAAGAAGCTCTTACAACARAACTGAAAGAATCACTTAAGACTATTTGCTTCAGTAATGTGAAAAAAAAAAAATAACTTGCTACATGCTTGAGTTGGCAGAAATGTCTGTGCTTTGCTGAGATGCACGATGACACAGAATTACTGTTTTCACTTATTTTATTCAGCGTACTTGAATAATTTTGTTGTAATGCCTTGGTTTGTGACCAAGGGAAATAGTAGAAGGAGTGGTAAGAGATTTCTTCAAAAGTGCTCCAAGCACTACACACTCAGGGACAGAGTCTATAGGAAGAATGGTTTGGTTTTTTTAAATCAGAGAGTAGCCTTATTCTTTTGTCGTATTTTCTAGCCATCACTGTCCCCACTCCAAGCCCATACATGCACAAAGGAAATATTTCAAGTGGTATTTAAACCTATGCCATAATCAKGTTTGAGATCCAGTAAGTCTGCAMCCTGTGGGTTGTGTTGGACATCTTCCTTTGGTGGAAGTCAGTCTTTGTAATRAGGTCAGCAATTTTGTATTTAGAGCTGTTATGGTCTATAAATTTTAACTTACTGCTTTCCTACGTGTCCTTTGTTGACAATTAWAAATGGCTTGACATTTGGATGGGGGACAGGGGCTGGCAAGTAGGGGGGATTTTGCTGTTTGGCCAAGCTATTAGGAGCAAGGGAAATTAGAATCCAGGGTTCCTTGGAAGCCTGCCTGCTCCATGTGACAATTCAGATTCCAGCCTAGTGCTGAAAACCTGATTAATAGGGAGTTACTGTCCATTAAAAGTCTGTTAGATCAATTGTGCAGATCACTGGAGAGTGGCCGCCTAGGTACCAACTAAGTGAAACTATCAAGTCAGTTCTCCATTGAGATAACTTATACTAGCATACGTGACCATACACCTCGTGCTTAGAAAATTATTTGAAAAAAAAAAGGTTAAACCACTCCTTTCCTATTTTTCTTATGTAATACCATGCTGTTTAATAGAAGTTTTTCATACCAGGTGCAGATTGACTTTGCAGCATTACAAACACTTCAGCGAAGTTCACAGCTGACAAAAGAGCCATTCAGAACAAAAATAAACATTTTTTAAATGAGCTGATGCCTTGAATTCTGTCCCTTCTTATGCTAACAATAGTGTCTGTGTTTTATTTCCCTTCTAATAAACACTAAGCAGTAATATTTTTGACATTCTTAGTGGATGGGTGAAGGGTTTTGTAGTGTGAAGATGGTTGCATAACCTGTGTATTATAAGGCATTTTGGCAGGGGTACAAACTTTCTCAGTCTGTACTTTATCTGCTCTGTGTATACAGAGAAACACAGTCCCTAGGGCTATCAATCTGGCATCTTTCATCAGCACTAAATTTACTGCAAATATTTTGTGTGCATGCAAAAAAATGCTATTAAACCTTTGTGGGCAGGAGTGAAAACATTCAAATGGATGCTTTTTCTGTTTATTTCTCTCAGAATTTCTCTTCATTGAATTCTGGTAAGCATGTTCTGCTGACTTAAATTCACTCAGCATGTGTTTGTGTGTCTATCTCATCATAAGTCTGTATTTAGAAGGCTTTTGAARTGTTGCCTTGCTCAAGAGCCTGTTGTGCTAATCGGTTTTTTACTTGTTTCTTTCGTATTAATCTACTTGCAATATTACTGTGATGTCTTCAAAACTGTCTGGGTAACTGATAAGGCAAGTGAGAGGTGAAATTAGGTTAGTGTCAGAGATTTCTGTAGACAGAATCCTGTCTGTCCACCTGTCCCAAGTGAATTGCTAATATGTGGCCTTAGAATGTGAGCTTTAGCACTGCTTTTCTCTATCCATGAGATTAACTTAATTTTCTTGGTCTGTTTTGTTTGGAACATTAATATTACACTGCAGGGAAAATTCAGGTTAGTTCAGAATAACTTTAGGTTAAAAAAAGTAAGAACCTAAAACTAATCCTGGTATTAAATTTATCTTGGTAATATGAGCATGTTAGGAAGATTTTTAGGTTCACTTGATGAATACATTACTGAAATAATATGAAAATTCATAATGTACATTTTGGAGGTTCTTTCTTATGGTTTATAACTTGAAATTTTGTGTGCTTTTGGGCTCTAATTGAGGGCACTTTAGACCAGCATTTCTTCTAGACCTTCATCGCAGTTCAGGTGTYGTTCATTCTGTTGTGACAATGTTATAGTTGATCCAATTAACAAAATAAACAAATT